CCCGCCACAAAGGAAAAAAAGCTCATTACGCTTTGTAGGTTAGTAACAGAGCAATAAAAATTCGGATTCTAATCGTGTCAGCAACTGATATCGGAGGTTATAAATCCCCGGATGCGAAGTTAATATTTCAACGAAGCAATCAATTAATAGCTAACTATTATATGCTATACGGCGCGCCGACATATTCAATTATCGGTTCGTTCGAATCCAAAAGATTAAGTTGTCTGGTTGAACACCGGAAAAAGTTAATTCCATAATCATAGTGATATATTAATTTTTGTAGGTTCGCAGGAACGATGCCGATGAAAGTTCTTTCCCTCGATCGATCAAGGAAACTGGTTATCATCAGGATGAAAATAAAGGACTCTGTTAATATCTCGATCCGATTTTTGAGATGCAGCGGTGGTAGATTTAAACACGTAATGTCGGGATTGTAAATAGTAAGAACCCGTTATTTTAACGTGTCGCCCTTGCAATTATTTCTGCTTTCGACTGCTTCTCGTGGCTTCGTTTTTTCCTTCTAAAACTTGGCCAGCCAAGTTCGTACAACTGAAATAGAAGTTTTCTAATTGAACGAGTCATGCCATTTCACAGGGATAAAGTTATGCCAGCGCCGTATTGGAAACTCATTGCATAAAGATTATGTTCGAGGAACTGTTTTTCATGACGAATCACCCAGCATTTCATATTCAAATGAGACTTTAAAAATTCTCCATCGAATTTCAACAACGCATTATTGAGAAACCAGTACAATTCATCTTAGCAAAATAGAGTGAGTATCGGAGATTTTCATGAGTTTATATAGTATCAAAGATTTTCAGATCATTCTATCGAGTCATCGTATCCTGATGTTTCACGGAAATCCGGACGGCATATTAATGGCGGAGCTCTTCTTTTAGCATAAGAGAACACAATGTTCATCCCCAGAAGTCGGCGGCGCGCCGACGAGAGTGACTTTCGCTTAGGGATGCATAGAATTTTACAGAAGCATCGTCCTCGCATTCATCGGCCCGCACGCCTTGAATATTTTTCCAATATTTTTCGCTGCATACGCTAACGTTAACGTTTCCGACGACAGCTGCACCAAAATCCTTCCAGCAGCAGTTTATCCTTTGCTAGGAACGCTGTCCAGAGTTACTTTTGCCCCTTTGCCGTTCTAAGGAATTTTAATTCGTACACTTCGCGTTTAGTTTGGCAGTTGGCAAGACGCGGTCGACCCGAATCTCGTTTGCGTTTTCGTACAACGAATCAAGTTTGTAATTCTATATTCTATTAGGGTGTCCCATAAGTTCTTCCCTTTTTTCTGATGCGAAATGATTACACGATATTTGTTGTTTAAAGTTGATTTATCGAGTTACATATGAACCGTTCTGCTCTATTACCTTCTTCCATCTTTCAGGAAGCCTCATATGCCGTCTTTCTAAGATTGTTGAGGCTTATTTGCAAAATATTGATCAAGGTGCGTTTTTACTTCGCTTACGAATTTGAACCGTTTTTCACGGAGAGAATTCTTTCACGAGAAGAACAAGTAATAATCGGATGGTGCAATGTCTGGGGAGTACGGAGGATGAGGTAGAACGTCTCGATCAAACTGCAATAATTTTTGTCTTACGACCAACGCAACATGTGGTTTCGCGTTGTCGTGATGAAAATTTGACGGTGTGGAACTTCGAATCGATTCACATATTCCATCTCGATTAAATGCTTATGTACCGTTGTCCTGGGTATGTTAGTGGCATCCGCGATCTCGCGCACACTATATCGCGGATTTTCAGCGAGCATATCTTTGATAAGGTCCGCAACCGTCGTTGTTGAACGGCCGCTGCGGTCTTCGTCTTTCAAATCATAATTGCCAGCACTAAATCTCTTGAACCAATCGCGGACTGTCCTAATAGTCGTTGAACTATCACTATATTATTAATATAATAATAATAATATAATAATAATATAATACAATATATAAATAATAAATTATAATATAATAATAATAATATAATGCAATATATAAATAATAAATTATAATATAATAATAATAATATAATACAATATATAAATAATAAATTATAATATAATTGTTGAAATTTTAGCCTCGAACAAAAATTAATCTATAGTTTACTTAGTACTAAGATACTAAGATATTCGACTCTCAGTAGAGTTTGGTCGCTCGATCGTTTTCGCCCATATANTAAGGTCCGCAACCGTCGTTGTTGTACGGCCGCTGCGGTCTTCATCTTCCAAATCATAATTGCCAGCTCCAAATCTCTTAAACCAATCGCGGACTGCCCTAATAGTCGTAGAACAATCACCGTAAACGGTACAAATCTCGTTTGCAATGTTCTTTGCCCTATCATTTTTTTGAAAGCAATGAAGCTAACATTCCGCAAATGCTTCTTTTGGCTATCCACATTGAACGGCATAGAAAAAATTTTATAAGGAACTTTGTCACCAACGAAACGTACTCTAAAAGAGCTCTGGGATGACTGAAACCAATACACTAAACAGCCAAGAGGTAATTCTGCGTGTTTATATAAACACAGCCAGTTAGATTCATTCATAGCGCGGCGCGGAAAGAATTTATGGGACACCCTAATATTTATAATAGATGACGAGTAATGTGGACAGGTTAGCAAAAAGTGCCGATCCAGAATTCGATTTTTATACTTCCCGCCAAGAGTGTCAACGGCGATAAATTGTACCAAGCGCATGTCGTCTCTAATTGGTTGTACTCCCGCTGAATATTGTACGTTTTTACTTGACGTTACAAAAACTGTTGTAGCAGTATCTTTAAGTCCGTAATTATTCGCGTGCTTATTAGCATTAAACTTATCACAATTAGAATTAAATAATTCTAATTTGTCGAGTACAGGTTATCTTTAAGTCCGTAATTATATTCGCGTGCTTATTAGCATTAAACTTATCGCAATTAGAATCAAATAATTCTAATTTGTCGAGTATAGGTTAGATTACGAATTCGATAGAAAGTGGTGTTATTATAACCCGTGCGATATCTAAGACAATCAGCGGAGTGGGGGTTGAGGGGAATTATGGCAGATCGGGATCTCGCACTGTCAGTCGGTTATGGGCTCTAGTTACGGAAAGTTATTGTGACATTAATGTAACCACCGTTGGTCATCGTGCTTGGGAGTCAAATTTTAAAGGTTACGGTGATTGGTTTCGATCTAATTCACTCTTCTGAGTTAACTTGGATCGCGGAAACTGTAAGTATTTTATTAAAAGCTTTGCTAACAGACTTGGGAAAATCGTTAGTAGTCATTTCAAAAGATGTCGCCTCTCTCTTTTACATTGCGGAGTTTACCCACTCAACACTTATAATTTAATTAAGTATTTGATATTTTAAATTGAAATAAATAAATTATTCCCGTCACATAATAATAGTGCTCACTCGAAGAAGATTTATTATAAATCGATTACTCGTTGATAAATTTATTGTTATTTAATTAAATATTATATATATATATATATATATATATATATATATTAATTTAATTAAATATTATTATATATATATATTAATTTAATATTTACAAAGTAGATATTAAAGTGGATATTAAAAACTGTCGATAAAATAGAAAATGTCAATTATCTGTATCTGTCGCACACATTTCACATGGAAGTCGAAACAATGAGCACGAATAAAGGAATTATTCGCTGCGCAATCTCGTAATGGCGGATGCTGTATTTCCGCGACAAGAGACGGTATTATTTTACTTCGGTTACTTTTAACACTGTTACCGTGTTCTTTCGAAATTAAATGGGCTCTCTTGCTTGTAAACTTGTTTCAGTACTCGCAGCGAAGAACCGGGGGAACATGGGTAATGAGAAATAACAGTATTCAGACGATCTGAGAACGGGACATAAATGAAACACTGCAAGGTAAGTAGAACAGTTTTTCAGTAGATCTTTCGTTTTACCTTGGTAAATAAATACGAATTAAGACATTGGTAGAAATGTACATAGTTCACTTTAATTGTGTGGCGGAATGTATTTTAATAAATTTGTAACCTCGTGGAAACGATTTTATTCTTTATCGAGGTTATGGGATCGCAGTCTGACAATATTATATATTTTATGCTAAGAAGCAGTAACGGGCGAACTTTTTCAAACAAATAATGAACACTTAACCCAGTGCTGGACTATACTTTATAACGTTCGCAAGTTTATAAGCATAATTTAAACATTATGCAAATATAGGTTAGAATTTGGTCAAGTCCACATTTTTGTCTCGAACGTATCAGATGCTAATGCGGTGGGAAAAAGTTGTTAAAAATGTGAAGCTGTGCAACCAAAAGGATCGGCTTTTTTTTTATAAACAGTTAGTAATTTCATTTAAATATTTGCACGATCGTGCGCGGCGGCAAATTGAATGGTAGCCAATATTTTCACGATTGAACGTTCACGCAAATTGCAAATAGAAAGAGGAAACCGCACTAGCTGCTGCAATTTTATCGCGTACATAACCTTATTTTCTTTTCCCGCGTTGTACAACCTTTTCCACCGATGTAGTTTCCTCTCGAAACTCTTCCCATTTCTTTACTTTTCTCGCGAACACCTTGACCCGTGATATTTCCACGGGATAGAAAGTAAAATAAAAAAAGAAAAAAAGAATGTTGTTCGACCGGTAAAAGGAGAAATGAGGAAAAGTCGCGGCGTTTTTCGCAAACGGAACTCCGGATCTTTAACATAACATTTCGAATAAAATGTTCTTGCAAATAGAACGCCGGGCTGGGAACTTTATAAATATCATTGTTGGATATCACGACGTTCGGCAAAACTCTCTCAGCTTCGCCAAATAAATTCAGTATTATCTTATGTTTAATCTTCAATTTAAACATTTAAACAACTTAGCCGTACACATAGACGATCACAGAGCATTGTTCACTGCTTAACATCTTAATGCCTCTCATAAAATTTGATACTTGTCAAATATATGTTTTGTTTCGAGAGATAGATCGTTCTAAACAGTCACTGACTTTTATAATAAACGGCAGGCGAGTGTGCCAACTTCGCTTTAACGTGCTGCTTAAATAAAAGATATTGAAATATTGAAAATCCAGCATTACAACAAAACGTTAAATACGCGGCGAACTAAGCGATATCGATCGTTCAATATTTACGAGAATTCCACCGTTGGGTTTCAACGAAAAAAGAACTTACAAGTCAACAACGCATTAGCAAATCTAGGGAAATGCTAGGGAGTTCTATGGAGACCAAAGCACACATTAATATCCGTGTCGGAGATGCTTCAAAGTGCGTAGTAATTAATGCTTGCCATCAAACATTGCCGTGCCTGTTGACGCAGGTTATTTTGATCTGGGTACGAGGATACATTATGCGGCTAATTATCAGAGCATAGGTCCCCGTTGGTGGCCTAAGTGGCCTTTCTGTAATTTTGCAATCTGATTTCCGAATGTCCCTTCCGAGAATACACGCCTGCAAAAATGGAGGCACGCGACGACGACGAACGGAAAATATTATTTGAAATAGGACAACGAAAGAGTGCCGAATCTCTGTTAATTGATTCTTCGTAGTCCGTGCCAACTTTTAGACGGTCTTTAATTAGCAAACTTCCTCCTTTGATAAGCTGAAGTTCGAAGTCAGTTTCCAGAGTGTACTGAATTATTTGTTAAAGTAGTTTTCTTCGAAAGAGCCCGTAGTCCCAGAGTTTGGAGAAGTCAAGCAAAATGGAAAATTTGTTTGCAGCGTACGCTACTTTCATGAATTAATATTACGGTACCTTACTGCCTAATAATCCATTAGTTTCAACATTATATTAAATTGAATCTTCAAACATTTCCGTGCAAGCTAATAGTTGTTCAGATTAACGTATTCAAGTAAATCACTTTTCTAAATATTCGAGCAAATCACTTTTCTAAATTATTGAGTTTATTTTTAATTATCGAGTTCATTTTAAATTATCGAGTTCATAAGATGATGTAATATAATATAATGATATGATATGATATAATAAATATAGGTATCATATAATATATTATATCAGATAAATATCATATAATATATTATATTATAAATCGTAAATATTAGTATTAAAGGCAATGTAATATAATATATTATAAATCGTAAATGTTAGTATTAAAAACAATGTAATATAATATATTATATCATAAATAATCAATATGCTAGTATTAAAGACGATGTAATATAATATAAAACATAATGAAATATAAGTATCATATGATATATTGAATTCATATTAAATTATCGAATTCATTTAAAATCGCTAGACTGCAGATGTTTATGCAAATGCATATTATCTCACAGACCAATTCAAAGGAACTGAAACCAGGATAATCTTTTCATAAATGTACGTCGAAATATTTTCCAGAAATTAGTTTCATCCCGGATCATTGCATCGCTTGATAAACAAATCGTTATTGAATTTATGCAGATATAGAAAATATATTCCTGCAGCAGCTCTCTGTAGCGCAGACTATAATTTCGCGAGTCCGCCGGCATAGAAAATCAGTATAACTGTATTTGGACTATCAGCCAGTTCATGTAAAACGTTTACGTAGCCGTAAGGTGCATCGAGTGGAACGGTCTAACTTGCATACTCCATTTCCGGTGGACGCGGAGTTTGCAGTGGGCTCCGCAACTTGTAATTGGGTCATTTGGATGATACTATACTGAATATTCGATTTGTCAGGCTCCCACTCCGGCGCATCCGTTATCACGTTACCATCCAAAATCGAAGAAATTCCTCTCGGCGTATCTATGAGACGAAGTTTCACGATCTTTTCTCTATTTCATCATTTTATTCCTCGTGACGGTTACGGTCAATACTGAACATAGATATTAGAGAATAATTTTATGCACACGGGGAACACTCGATTTGTAAATGTTAGTATTAAAGACGATGTAATATGATATAATATGATATAGTATAATGAAATATAAGTATCATGTAACATATTATAATATAAGATAAATATCATGTAATATATTATGATATAAAAATATCGTATAATATGTTATAATATAAAAATATCATATAATATGTTATATTATAAATCGTAAATGTTAGTATTAAAGACGATGTAATATAATATAATAAAAAATAAGTAACATATAATATATTATAATATAAAATAAAAATATCATGTTATATTATAAAAATCGTAAATGTTAATATTAAAGACGATGTAATATAATATAGTATAATATAGTATAATAATAAATAAATATATAAATATACTTATTATATATTTATTTATTATTATATAATATTATATATATATATATATATATATATATTATAATATAATATATTATTATTATATATTATATATTATTAATTATATNGATGTAATATAATATAATGATATGATATGATATAATAAATATAGGTATCATATAATATATTATATCAGATAAATATCATATAATATATTATATTATAAATCGTAAATGTTAGTACTAAAGACATAATATAATGAAATATGAGTATCATATAATATATTATATAATATAACAGGGTGTAATACAATATTATAGGTTTTAGGTTATAACTGGAGAGAGCGAAACAGAGCTAATGAAAGAGAAGAATATGTATAAGGGAATTATAAACCAAGTACAAACAAAGGTAAATAATAATAACATCGAAGTTAACCCTAAATATTAATGGAACGCTAAATTCTTTTACAATGTTTAGCACAATTGCACAATTCTTTCTCGTGCACGAGTAATCATTCGATGGTATTTTACAGATTGTATAATAGACAAAAGTGGACGAGACGGGAGTGGAAACTGTTGTGCGCTGCACGGGAACGGCGTGGATGACGCAATGTAAAATTGCAACGCGGGGGTGGCACAGGCTTGAAAAAGCGCAAGCCCAAAGGTCGAAACAGTCTCGGATCGCCCCGTGTCGCGCGTTTCCATGAATTTCGCCGGGAAAATAATTTCTGACGGAGCGGAACGATTTCCGTTCATTTCGAAAAGTGAATCGAGGAATATTGAAAAATGATTATCTCTCGTCCGGGGGTAGGAAAAGCCTCGATGAAAATTCGTTCGGCGACGCGATGAGGGTGGATGGAGGACAGCGTCGACGACGACGGGAGAGCAGCGGCGGGGTTGTTAAAATATTGTGATAAATAAAACGCGCTGACAAAGAAGAGGCGAGGTGCGCGCACCGGCACGCGTGGCGCACAGGTACAAGGTTTTTCAAGCGATAAAAATTGTTTTACAATACTGCGCGTCACGTGCAGCGGCCGGGAAACAGGGGAAGCGAAATGCAAAACACACTCGGCACGAGCGAACGCAAACACAGCGGGTAATCGTTTAAGCCAGGGCACCGAGTGTTATTTCAATGGACTTGTTTTCAGATTATTATTCATACAACAATGCCGTTTGATCAAAAGTTTTATCGCCGCGATTCATTTGCCGGGCGTGATCCTATGAAATTATTATGCGCATAAATGCTCGGGGCTCGCCGAGCCGGAACGTGTCGTTCCGTATCTTAAAATGATCTTCTCGAAATTTGTATGATCGCAGAGGATGTGCAAACGATTTGCAAGTTGCGATTATTGCGCTGGAAAGACTGATGCCGTTTCAAAATATCTGGGTCTTTGGAAAATGACAGTTTCATCTCTTTCGCTAATTCTTTAATAATTATATTGTCTCTCTGATTAGGACATTCTTAATGTTACATACACTCCTCTCCAAAAGTATTAGGAAACCTTATTTAATATAAATCATAGTTTTTCATTCGATTTAGGTAATGTCTCAGAGTTTTGTGACATCGTATTGACGAAAGTACATATTAAGTTTTAAATGTTTTCATGTCTCTCTGATTAGGACATTCTTAATGTTACATACATTCCTCTCCAAAAGTATTATGAAACCTTATTTAATATAAATCGTAGTTTTTTATTCGACTTAGGTAATGTCTCAGAGTTTTGTGACATCGTATTGACGAAAGTACATATTAAGTTTTAAATGTTTTCATGTCTCTCTGATTAGGACATTCTTAATGTTACATACATTCCTCTCCAAAAGTATTATGAAACCTTGTTTAATATAAATCGTAGTTTTTCATTCGACTTAGGTAATGTCTCAGAGTTTTGTGACATCGTATTGTCGAAAGTACATATTAAGTTATAAATGTTTGTCACTTATACGATTAGTTTTCTCATTTATTGCGTTCTGTTCATTGAAAACGTGTGCCGAGTTCACCTTATACTGCTTGTTCGGTATTTTTTAAATATGTGGAACGTAGTATAAAATACATTGAACCAAACAGGAACAGAAATAATAGATGAATTAATAAAACGAATGCCGAGATTAGTCCAAGAGATAGTAATTAAAAACGAGGTGGATGTATTGCTTAAAAGAAATTTTAATTCTCTTTTATATAATCAACGTTATTTTTATTATACTGTTAAATATATATAATCTACTCGTTACAGTTTCATAAAATTAAGTTTGAAATAGATTGAAGAAATTACAATAACTTCCTATCGGCTTCTCAAATTTATATAATATCTTCTAAGTGTCCCCTAATATTTTCGGAAGGGGGTGTATCTCTGGTTTTAAAATCTTTATGATGACAAGATGACAAGATGATCTTTACTTTCAGACAAGATTAGTGATACATATTTTGATTCTTCTTTCAACACGTTCGCGGACAGTAGACATTTTAATGAGCCGCAAAAGTAGACAGATGATTTATTCATGAATCATTACGTTAAAGTGAATTCCACACAGAATTGAGCGCATGAAAGTGTCTCTTATAAATGTGTGTACGTTATAGCCATTCGTGTCATTTAAATGACAATGAAAATATAACATCACAATGAAAATGAATGCTACATGCGTTCCCATCCGCAGACGTGTTAACCGAAGAGATCTCGCAGCGAATAATCGACTTGTTTGTTTGTTCCGTCGTTAATGAAACAGCTTATCAAAATGGGAATTTGCGCGAGGTTTTCAGGGGCTAGTAAAATATTCTGTCGAACGGGTCAATAAATTAAGTGGGAGACAGAGGGTGGAGGGTTGGTCGTCCAAAAATTTTCAGAGAAAAACTTCCGCGGTTTCCCCAATGTTTATTTTCCGCTGTGGCCAGTCTTTCCCTCCAAACCCCTCCCGGCCCAACCAGTAAACAATATTTCCGCTCCTCTCGTCGGCTGGTCGTCCTCATTCGACCAGTTTCCAGGGTGGAGCGAGAGGGACAAAGGGAAGGACAAGGTAAAGACTAGAAGGGAAACAGCGCGCTGGCAAGAGACAAGGAGAGAGTGTCGCGTAAACGCGCGAATTAGAAAGAGACGACACGATTGCGGCGCCGATGGGAGAGAGGAGAACGAGAGAGAGAGAGAGAGAGAGAGAGAGAGAAGGACAAAGGGATCGTAGGAATAAATGGGGGACAAGGAGGACGCGGCAAGGTGGAGAGAAACGTGCAGAGTGAGAATTGAGAGGCGCTCGGACGGGGGAGAGAAGGCAAACACATAGGGAGGAGAGAAGCGTGTATGTACAGGGTGTTCAAAAAGTGTAAGAAAGAGCGGGCATAGATTCTTTTAATTTTCAAATTCATTGTTCTTCTCGGAATCATTCTCTTCTTACTTTTTAAAATTCTTCGTAAATCTACAATTTAAATAGAATTTCATGTAAAATGTTTTCTTTCCTTCAAAACGATTTACTATGCTGTTGAAAATATGTTCTTCATTTTCTAATTATTTATTGTTAGACCGCGGATTTTATGCACGAGTAGATCAAATACAAAACGTTGAAGAGCTTTAATTTATTCAAAAGTACTATTGCGTTATTTGTAACTCGAATAAAATATGTAAAGAAAGAAAAGATTGTCCAAGTGGGTTACGTATCTTGCAATTAATCCACAGAATTTTTATTTCGTATAAAAATCTGCAGTCTAGTCAGTATGTGATCTAAAACATATTCTTCGTTTTTGAATTAGTTATCGTGTTGCCTAAAGAGTTTTCCTCATTTTTATAATTAGTTATTATGCAGCCTAAAATATATGCATTTTTTAATTACTTATTATGTTGTTTGAAATATGTTCTTCATTTTTATAATTAGTTATTATACAGCCTAAAACATATTTTTCATTTTTAAATTACTTATTATGAAGTTTAAGACGTATTCTTCATTTTTAAATCAATTATTACGTAGTCCAAAAAATTTTCTTCATTTTCGAATTAGTTATTATGTAGTCTAAAACATATTCTTCGGTTTTTAATTAGTTATTACGTAGTCTAAAATATTTTCTTCATTTTTTAATTATCTGCGTAGTCTGAAAGGTTTTTAAAAATTTTTTAATTAATCGTTATGTTGTTCAAAATATATTCGTTAGTTGTCAATTCTTTCTTAGAGCGTCGAAATTTTTCTATTTTAGAACTCTTTTCTAGCTAAGCGGGAAGCATCTGTTAACTGTGCGTGGACTAATTAGTGGAATAATTACTCCGTAGGATGCAAGATTCTCTAAAATTGAGTGTACATAAGAAATTCATAAATTATAATCGCCTTCAATGTCTACAAATTAGCGCATAATTATTCTGATCCACGTAAACGTATGCGGTCTTAAATTAGACGCATTTATTGCTACACGGTGGAAGCTCGTTTTACACATCCAGGATGGTTGGACTTAAGCGAAATTATCTCTGCTCGCAAGAAATCCGATTAAAAATTTCAACAGATACTTGGTAATCGTTCGTGGACATTTTCGCCGTACGCTGTTCAAATACTGCAGCGCGCGGCCATTGCAATCGCAAATGCTACTTCGGTCGCAGAAATCGGAATCCGGCTCGGAAAAACACATTTAAATTTAGAATCCTCGGTTTAGAAACGTGTGTTCGCCGTTTAATCCGGAAACACGTCGATCCGACCCGAATTCTTGATCCCGGTATGAAAACCGAATTAAAAACAATTTTATTACCTAGTTTCGTCGGTGTAAGTACGTTTCGTCGAACGAGCTTCGAATTTCAACCAGCCGGGGAAGTTCGCCAAGCTCGCAATCCTGGCTCGGATATCACTCTTGTCTTAATTCTGATTCGTGAAACCCCGTTTCCCACACCTTTGATTTGTTCCGCCTTTCGAAGCCCCGGGTCTCCAACTTCGGAATTCGTTCGGCGAAACTTTTCCGCTGGCGGACCTTCACGCGGGAATTCCAGCAGGAATGTTGACCGGGGATCCTCTAATTTAAATTGTTTGATCGGCGAAGCTCACAGTTCCAATATCGGCCGCTATGGATCTCTCCGCTATGCTTTCTCCTGCGGCAACCCCCGGGATTATGATTTTGTGTTTGAGAATCTCTCGATCTCTCGATCGACAACTTCCGATCCCATTTGTGTCTCGAAAATCCACGGTCCGCGCAGAATTTCCGGATAGCCGTATTTTTCGGGAGTCTGTTCGCGCTAAAGGTCCGATTCAAAATTTTTGTTCGATCTACAGAATCTTCGTGGATGAACTTAGTCGGGCCTCGTCATATAATTGTAATTGCATTAAAATCATTATCAACGTCGTCGGTATTATACTTCACCGTCACCGAGATTACCATCGCAATCATTAAACATTGAAATTATTATCATTGACGCGATAATAGTTCGTCGTGATTACACATCGTCATCGAAATTATCATCATGAAACATCGACATCATGATTAGATCATCGAAATTATTATCGTCGTCGATTGCCAGAATTGTTATAAAACATGCGTTAAAAAAACTAATGATATCAATGATCGTAATGATTCGAGTGATTAATCACGATGTGATAATCACGAATGATTAATCAATGTGAACGATAGTTAATGCATGATAACAATTTCAGCAATGTTTAATGATAATTATTTTAGCGACGTTTAATGGTGACGACTTCGATGATAGTACTGTTTTTAACGATCGTCAAAATCATTATGGACAGACGTAAATGGCATTACACATCATTATCATCGTCGAATTCGTCATCATTGTATACGTGTAAACATCATTATCAACATCGAAGTCGTCATCGACTGTCAAAATTGCTGTAAAATACGTATATAACGTGTGTTATAAAGTGATGATGTCGATGATGATAACGATTTGAATGATTAATCACAATGATAGTATCAATGTGAACGATAATTAATGCATGATAACAATTTCAGCAATGTTTAATGATAATTATTTTAGCAACGTTTAATGGCGACGACTTCAATTTTTAACGATCGTCAAAATTATTATGAGCAGCAGAAAATGGTATCATTATCATCGTCTAATTCATCATCATTACATACCAGTAAATGTCGTTATCAACATCGAAGTCGATATCATTGCAAGTCATTAAGATCATTATGATTTGATATCATTAAATTTTTCCGTGCATTAAACATCGACCAAATGAATGTCACCATTGCAGTTAAACAATAAAATCGTTTTAATCATCGACATCGTCGGTGTCATTAGATTAAATCGACGTTATCAGCGTCATCAGTGCCAAGAACATTATTAACGTTATAATCGATATCAATGTTAAAGGCATTGTTAATATCGTTATAAATGAACTTAGCGATGCCGCTGCGAAATTAAGATTCTGTTCTCGTAATTTTGAATTTGGGAATCGATCAGCATTAGATTTCAGCTTGTATATCGAAAGACTGCCGAGGCTTTTCAATTTTGAAATCTGACCGCACAAATTGAAGATTTCTTTCTGTGCCACACAATGTCGACTCTGCATTCGAATACATAGATTTCCCCTTTAAGCCCATCCGGAGAATTTTTAAAATTAAACTTATTTGAATCTATCATAAAAGAAAAGGAGCCAAGTGCAATTTTTTGTTTTTCTTAACACGTTGAATGCCATGCCACGGTTTTACAGAAATTGTCCGTGGTGCCACGATGAATTTTCTTTTATGTGATACATATAATGTTGAAATATTATCTGCAATAGATAAGTTACAGTGTATAACCATGTTTGACATATTAATTGCGACAGGGGTCACTGTTTGAATTGACGATGGTAATAATACAAAATTTTAGATATTGACATTTGTTTTAAATTATATATATATTTCTATCAATTTGGGCGCGCCGGTCACCGGTGGCCCCCATGGCGTCACCGCCACGTTAAGTGCCGGTCACCGGTGATCCCCGTGGCATTCGACGTGTTAACGCTGGAACTACCAAATGGGATCAAAATGACCTCTTTGATATTTCTTATAAACATTACTCATTTTCAGTACATACTGTTCACATTTTTTTTCTTGTCCTTTTGTTGTCAAATTTTATGTAGTATACCTATAGTCTTCGCGCGACAAGGCTTACATTTCCCCTTCTACATTACAATGAAAATGAATTTTCAAAATTAGCCAAAAATTAGTGTCACCCATGTTTGACCGACGCGTCGCTCAACGTGTTAACGAATTGATTATTATTACATCGAAGTTCTCAGTTTCTTTTCATCTTCTCGCAGATTTTAAATATCCATCCGTCCATTTTAACCATATGTGCATAAAGTCCGCAGTCATGATAGAACGAAAAGTTGCTGGAACCACAAATAAAATGTACTCGGAACGATAAAACGTACAAATGGAAGAACACGGACGGAGATTGGAAAATGAAGAAAACGTAAAAAAGAAAGAAGCTACCTCTCATGGTTATTTCCGATATCCATATCAGCTGCTATAAATCAGGCTTTTAACGCTGAACCTATCACGGTCAAATGGCCGGTTTCTCGTTTTAAAATTATAAGAACAATTGAGACATTTTCATGGAAAATGATTGCATAAATTACATTATTGGTACAACTACTGTAACGAAAGCTGTAGAAAATCTAAATAAATTGGAACTTTTCACATTTGTCAGGCAACGCGTACCGGTCAATTTTATTGTTTAGTAGGTTCAGCGTTAATATATCGCTGTTTTAATTCAATACTGAGACATTTAAAAAAAAAGAACGAAAACGTAATTTGGTGATATTCTACTATTTATCTTTTTTATTTATTCACTTAATTTTTGACCTTGGGCTTTGAATATGTAACTTCGTTGCATATCTAAAATCTATACTGAGTTCTAAAATAACGACGAAATACTCTAAAAATAAGAATAAAAACAAGATATAGCTATCGATAGAAATTATAAAGGAGATATTCTACTGTAACCATTTTGTAACGACTGTAACATTGAGCTTACAGTTGAGCACATCATGATAGAATGTCCATCGCGCAACAATATCAGGAAAAAAGTGAAAATGCCGAATACCGTCAAAGAATGTTTGAACAACTATAAACATACAGCAAAGGTTATGTCATATTTAGAAGAAACAAAATTGTTCTCAGTGAAATTAAACAGTAACTTAAGGAATCTAGGTTAAGAAGTTAATGTTGAGGCCATAGTGTTTAGTGCAGATAATTTAACGTAAAAACTATTTCTATTGGGTTGGCAACTAAGTAATTGCCGATTTGTTCAATGAAATAAAAAATTTTTTTTTGCTTGGAATGAAGTTTAATCTGTAATGTATTTTCCATTTTGTTCGATGACCTTTTGCCATCTCTCTGACAACTTGAAAATGCCACGCTCGTAGAAAGTCTGATCCTTTTCGGCCAAAAACTGAGTTAAGTGAGATTTTACAGCGTCATCGTCATTAAAAGTTTTATCACGAAGGGAGTTGTCCAGGGATCGAAACAAGTGGTAATCCGATGGCGCGAGATCAGGGCTATATGGTGGGTGTAACATCAATTCCCAAGCAATATCCATCAATTTTTGCCGAGTGGACAAAGACGTGTGCGGCCTAGCATTGTCCTGCTGGAAAATGACACCTTTACGATTGACCAATTCTGGTCGCTTTTCCTTGACCGCTGCATTCAATTTGTCCAGTTGCTAACATTCACGGATAATAAAAAATAACATAATAATAATAATAATAATAATAATAATTTTATAATATAACATTTACGGATATCATAAAAATGGGAGTGAGAAACATCTATAATTGAAATCGGCAATTACTTAGTTGCCAACCCAATACAATTGTAATCGCACAAGTGGTCGCTAATCTCTATTAAGCAAATGCGACATTAAATAAATAAATACAAAAAGAAAAAGGTATTATCAGCAATGCTACTATTATTGTATTTAGTGGAACAATGTGTTGCATCTATCAAGAACCAGGTTATCATTCGCAATTACCAAGTTATCATTGGGAAAATAAAGCTTTAAATGCCTTTTCCTTTAAACTTTATTATTTAGACGCGTCTCGCTATCGAATTAGGGCAGCTATATCTCTTTCTTTTTAAATTTTGGGCGACACCTTTTGCGTATAAAAATATTGACAAATCAAACTTTCGAATTTTGTTGGAGATCCGAAACGTTCGTTTCCATACCAGAATGTGTAATCGAGCAATTTGTTTTTCAGATCGAACGTATCTGTGCCAATTCGAAAGGAGCATAAATCCAACAGAACTATTCCGGAGGACTCCGATATACATATAGCAAATTTTAATCCCTCGGACGCGCTTTCACCCTTTCGTGCCCGTCCGTTTTCGTCACGAACGCATTAAATCCGTCCATTGATCACGCCTCCACTCTAATTTCGCCGGGCGAAAAGATCCTAACAAATTGTTCTGCCGCGCGCAGGAGCCGTTTAAACACAAGCGGAAATTCGCATAGAGACCCGCGGAGTCCGCGGACAACGGCTGCTGAACAAGATACAATTTCGCGTGGAAGGAAGAAAAAAAAAAGAAAGGAAACCGGCTGGAACCACCGGGGACGATAAAACGGGGAAAAATGGGCGATGTGGCGGCGGAGGGTGGAAAATGAAGAAAGAGGAAGAGGGCGACGGAAGAAACGTAGGCTGGAGAGGAGGGAAAAAGAGAAGAGACGAAGTCGCGCACACGTTTCTCCTGACGCCGTTCCAGCCGGAAGTCGTGCTGGAGGGGGAGCTCTAGAATCGATAACCGCCCCTCTGCCACGTCGAAAGGGGTCGCCGCCACCCTCCTTTTAAAAGGGAGAGGCGAAGGGAGCCAGAGAGAGATAGAGATAGAGAGAGAGAGAGAGAGAGAGAGAGAGAGAGAGAGAGAGAGGGAGAGACGAGATTCGAACACCAGGTCGATCCCCGAAGGGGAAAACTGGCTGGCTGAACGATGACGCCGGCGATGACGATCATTCTCACACTGCTCTGATCATTTTAAAAGCCTAGAGGCACTAGAGAAACTTCAAACGCCATTTTTCTGATCCGCTCGATTTTTATTCCTGCTCGCGGAAAATTCGTCGGAGCTTTTCCTCTTTCTCTTTTTTCCTCTCTCTCTTTTTTTCCTCTTTCTCTCTTTTTTCTCTTTCTTTTGTTTTCTCTTTATAAAAATTACTTCACACTGCCTGGCCATTCAAATGACAATAATTTGCGATTTTTAAGCACCATGGCATTGGCTTAGTGTTAGAGAAATAATAGATTTCTAAAATAGTAAATAGACTGTAAATATTTTTATCTTCTCGTACGATGCAGAATTTGGCAAATCAACTTTTCTTCCATAAATAGTAGTTATGCATTGAAATAGCATTTCAAGTATATTGTTTAATAGCACAGCTCATATAAATACTATTCTGAAATAAGTATTTCATTAAAACATAAGAAAATAATATTTCATCAAATAGTCGTATTACAGTATATTACTAAATAGTAATTTCACAGAATAGTATTTAAAACAATAGTATTCTAAGTAATAGTATTGCAAATAAAAGGCTTTTATCCTTTAATTTCCAAACAGTATTTCATTCGAACACTAAATGAAATAGTATTTCTAAATAAGATTTACTCATGCAAATATTTCAATGTTTGTCACTTCAATTATTTCAAAATTCTTTCAAATTTTCGCCAGCCCTTATATTAACACATTGCAGTCAAGTGGTGACTCTGAGGCAAGGCATCGCTAAAACTTATCGTATCAAATTTCAAAATAATGCCAATGTTATCCAGTTTGTTTACATCTAAAAAAAACAGATTTTTTAAATCATATATACGTGTATGATTATACTTGTAACAGTTTTTTTAGATGTAATATATATATCACAAAATTCAATTTCATACGTATAAAGAGCATTTGATTATATAAAATGAAAATGTACTATAAGTCAGAAAAACTGTTTTGGATCTCGAGTTAAAATGGCTCCGACTGCAAAGGGTCAAGTTAGAAAAATGTGTAATATTGAAACATCCAATTTACGTAGATTACTATCAATTTTATTCTATTAAACCATGACTAGATTTGCGTTCGTTCTTTCATTGCTGATTTTTGCTAATAATCTCTTGTTGAGAATATTTGAAAAATATACTGAAAAATGTTCAAATGTTATACAAAACATACTCTTGTGTATCGGAGAGTTTACAGAATTCTTCAGCTTTCATGGCCAAAGTAGAGCAATTTCTCGAAGTTAAAGATTTGTTTTTATCTTTTGGAAATCAAATTTCTCAAACACTAGAACATTATGTTCATAATTATTTGTAAATTGCTTATTCATTTCCACTCAGCTTCTAAATTGATCTCAGAATTCGAGACTGCAGATTCCGTGCGTTTAATGCGGCCTTCGTCGTCCAGAAGATTAATTTAACCCTTTACACTCGAAGCTATTTCAACACGGAATCTAAAATAATTCCCTGACCTACAGTATTTCCATTTCGTATGATTTACTGTATTTTACGCATACGACATTGAATATTGTGACTCGGGCAACAGTTGCACTTCACACAGATTATTAAATACAAGCAAATTCGACAATGTGAAAATTATTTTGAAAGGTGATAGAGAACAGTTTTAGGTGGCGCCTGAAAGTCGCCGCTCGAGTGCAAACGTTTAATATAGCTGTTACAATTAAATCTGGAATGGTTACTATTATGGAGGTGTTCGTTGTAAAAATACGTCATTCACCGAGGCGACGAAGGCCGCGGTCTACATTGAAACTAATTTCGAATTCGCTTCGAATTGTTTATTTCAAACAAATAACCCGAGTTTCTGCGGGGAACAATGTGTGTCTTGCAAATTGTACGTTAAACCTTGACCACGTGCAAATGCCTGGCAATTTGCTGCTAATTGTTGTCATAAATTTCACTTTACGTCGATGGCAAGTCATGTTTACTTAGCCATTTTTTTCTTTTTTGGAAGAAAAGGAAACTCGCTAGTAAATTTTCACAAGATCATTAACATGTTGAACGCTACGTCAATAAATAATAATAATAATATAATAAATAATAAATACGTCACGTTAATTGGACAATCTTCGTCCAATTAAAGCAGGATTTTGGAGATAATTTATAGTAATTTTATTTGTAACACAACTATGACGAGTATAGACAGTATAGGGTAACAATAAGGTATAAAGTAAACAAAAACAAACATTAAAAATATACTCATACTAATAATAAAATAAGATAATAAAATATAAAATATACTTATACTAACAAATTATACTTATATTTAAATTTCTTTTTAAAATATTATAACATTTTATTAGTTACGATGGAATTCGTTAAAACATTGTAAATATTAATTAGGGTGACTCTGGGCACTCAGGACAATACGTTACAGTCTTTTGTAAATTTTCTTTTTGTTTCGTGCCGCCGGGAGAAACTCTACCGATTCACGCTGGGCGTTCAACGTGTTAAGAAATATAATATAATATACTAAAATAGTATAACATATATATATATATATTAGTATAGTATAGTATAATACTATATATATATAATATATAATTAATACATAATTATTAATAATATATTATAATAATATTAATATATATATATATATATATATAATATATAATAGTATATACTATTATAGTATAATATATATATATATACATAGTCAATAGTATAACATCAGATCAGACCAACATCATAATCGTATCTTGAATAATTATATCTCGTCTTCCCAAATTGTTCATTTTTGTTTCCAAAGTTGAGGGAGTCCGTAGTACAGTCCGTAGACTGAAATCCACCGAATAAATATAATCTATACAAAAGCGAAATTAAAAATGATGTCATACCGTTGAAATACTGAATTGCATCCGGTAAACGTCACCGAACAAAATTAACTAAAAACTCGCAGGCAATTCCGAAGCGATGGATTCTGCAAAGCTTTCACCGTATCATGAAATTTATTTAGGCGGTGAATTGAGTGTGTCCCGATGGAAGCGAATTCGTCGAAATTCAAATACAAGATCCAAGGAAAATCAATTTACATGAGAAGAGTGAAATCAAGAGCAGGGAGAGAGAGAGAGAGAGAGAGAGAGAGAGAGAGAGAGAGAGACGGGGGACGACGGGCGGGGAAAGAGACCTTCGATTGAAAGGATAAATCATGAATACTCCATTTCTGTTAACAACGGTCTACGCGTGAATGCTGCGGGAGGAAGTAGGACAGCCTGCTGGCACCCTGGGCACCGAACGATTGATGCAACACAGGGCGCAGAACTTAGTATTTCAGACGAGTTTCCAATTTAGTTTGCGAGCCGTGCTCCGTCTGATAAGCTCTCGCTTTCGAATTAACTTCTGCGGGAAAGAATGCTGTTGCGATTTCGAGTGTCGCGCGACGCTGCCTAGAAATAATGCCGGGAACCGTTCCGCTAGATTCGCGGACAAAATATGCATAGCAAATTCTCCCCAATCGTCCCTCAGCTTCGAAACAAAATAGGACAACTTGGGAAGAGGAGATACGATTATTCGAGCCTCCACTTTCCAAATTGTCCATTTTTGTGTACAAGCTGAAGGACAATTGGGGAGAATTCACTGTAATTTGAGCGAACTTTCAGATACTTCTATCGCGCTTTGATAATATATTTATTTAAATATTTCTATTATTTACAGGCGAATGAAAATGCCTTGAACTCTTTGCAAACTCGTTGACATTTTCAAATTTTTGTGCCTCTGAAACTTTATATTATAGGGGACCGGGTCATAGCGAGTCCTTGGAGCAAAGAGAACTTTGTCGAACATTTATTTATGTACCTGAAATTTCTGTGATAGAAAGTTACATATTAAATTGATTTATTCGATACAATGACAATTATAAGCCTTTAAATTGTAATAATACTTTTATTTAGTTTTGCCAAATTGTCCATTTTTGTGTAGAAGCTGAGGATCTCGATTGGGGAAATTTTACTGTATATCAACAACTATCTTCTCTTTACAAATTGACCATTTTTGTTTACAAGCTGATGGACAATTTTGGAGAACTTGCTGCGCTGAGAAAAAAACTGTTCTAGATCAGACGAAGATCAGATAAAACTTAATTGTACACTGAATCTACCACAGTGGTAATAACTATCGATTAGATAAGACCGTGTACTCTGCGATTATTTATAGTGGCATACTCGGAGTTGATAATGTATTGCAGGAATGACATAAATAACTTTTGAGAGTAGTGTACACAGAAAATTGATGAGCGCTGATTAGCCGAACACTTGTCAAATATGTATCAAGAGATGTTCGTACGGTGCAGATATAAATACAGTAAATTCTCCGTAATTGGCGCTCAAATTGTGCACGAAAATGAACAATTTGGGAAGAGGAGATACGATTATTCGAGTCTTGCGACTTGTTTTTATAGCTACCGAATGTCACAACTATTGGGTTGGCAACTAAGTAATTGCCGATTTCAGTTACAGATGTCTCTCACTCCCATTTTTATGATATCCGTAAATGTTATATTATAAAATTATTATTATTATTATGTTATTTTTTATTATCCGTGAATGTTAGCAACTGGACAAATTGAATGCAGCGGTCAAGGAAAAGCTACCAGAATTGGTCAATCGTAAAGGTGTCATTTTCCAGCAGGACAATGCTAGGCCGCACACGTCTTTGTCCACTCGGCAAAAATTGATGAATATTGGTTGGGAATTGATGTTACACCCACCATATAGCTCTGATCTCGCGCCATCGGATTACCATTTGTTTCGATCCCTGGACAACTCTCTTCGTGGTAAAACTTTTAATGATGATGACGCTGTAAAATCTCACTTAACTCAGTTTTTGGCCGAAAAGAATCAGACTTTCTACGAGCGTGGAATTTTCAAGTTGTCA